TGTGAGCTATGCAGCTAGAATGATCTAAATCTAATACCTCATGTGTGGCGCAACCGCGGTTTACATACATGTGCACACCCTGTGCTGTGGTTGCATTTGTGGATGTGTGCAGGGAAAAGGGGGTTATGTATTTTTTTTTTTGGTGTTTTTTTTTTTTTTAAACTTTATTGCTATCACAAGTGTTGACAAACCCCCACGTGATAGCACTGGGTAGGTGACAGGTACTCTTTATGGAGGCATTAAGCCCCCGGTCACACCTCTGCAATTTCAGGTGCGAGTTGGGAATTGAAATCGCATCTAATGAATGTCAGTGTCTTAACGTGCGATTTGCTGCAGCGCAATTTCTAAAGTTGCATTACTTATTCTGCAGTTTTGCTGTAACTTTTTTAAATACATAGAATGTAATAGAAATTGCAAGAAGTTTGTTGAAAATCTTCACAAGTAGCAATAAAGTCTTTAGAAATTGCACCTGAAATCGTGCTGAAATTGCACACAAATCGCGTGATTTTGCATCGCCGTGGTGTGACTGGTGACTAAGGGTCTTATAGACCTTAGTCTATGACAGCCTTTCTCAACCAGGGTGCTCTGACGTTCCTGCTGGGGTGCCCTGGCAAAATGTCTAAAAATTGCCCAAAACCTGTATACAATCCATCAGGGGGAACATGCCTGTCTTTTAGTTACACAAAGCCACAGGTTTTCATTGTGCAGCACTGCGACCTAGACGCCAGCATCCTGACAACCAATGAAATCATCAGTTGATAAGAAGGATATCAGCTGCCTGCACAGCATCTTAGTTTGCCCCGCCCCTGCCCCTTTCTATCAGTGCTGGGGTCACATTAGCTCAGTGATGGATAAAAACTGAGGGAGAAGTGAAACAATGGCATACTAGTCAGTACCAGTGTGCAAAAGAGTATTTGTTTTGGAAGAATAAACCGTCTCTAATGTTGGGTGTCCTACATGTGTGGATGGTGCTGCGTTACATAAAACTACTAAAATAGTTTTTAAACATTTTAGAATGGGGTGCCTCAAGACAGTCCACAATTTTAAAGGGTGCCTTGTCTAAAGAAAAAAAAAAAAAAAAAGGTTGAGGAACACTGGCCTATGATGTGGATGACAATCTTCTGAGGGAGGTAGGTGGGCAGGGTCAGGCAGAAGGGAGGAGCTTGAAAACAGAGGAGGGATTGTTATCCTGGTGAGTTAGCTTTGTGCATTGAGCCACTTCGCTCAGCACCATGGAAAGGTTTTTATAAATCTGTACATGAAATCATTCATAAATTGTATGCAACGTTCAGGCTTTCTATACGTTGCAAGGTGGTGTTTGTAAATTGGCCGCTAGATGGCACTGTGCGCCTGCACAACCATTACACATGGAGGCTGGGGTGTTTGGAATTCGCAGACAAAACTTTTTGTTTTGTATTTGGGGGGGGGGGGGGGGGGCTACACCCCCTGCCAGGCTCTCAATCTGAACCTTGTGTATGGGTTGTACAGTACAGCGCGCGGCCTCCTCAGTACAGTGTATGGGGTGCACAGTACGGCGCGCGGCCCCCTCAGTACGGTGTACAGTACGGCACCCTCGGTACGGTGCGTGGGGCATACAGTACAGCACGCGGCCCCCTCAGTGCAGTGTACAGTACAGCGTGCGGCCCCCTCAGTGCAGTGTACAGTACAGCGTGCGGCCCCCTTGATAGGGTGTATGGGGCGCATAGTACAGCGTGCTCCCCCTCGGTATGGTGTGAATAGTACAGCGTGTAGCCTCCTCGGTACGGTGTATGGGGTGTACAGTACAGTGCATGGCCCCCTCAGTAGGTTGTATGGGGTGTACAGTGTGCGGCTCCCTCGGTAGGGTGTACAGTGCATGGCCCCCTCGGTGTACAGTACGGCACACGGTCCCCTCAGTACAGTGTATTCGGTGTACAGTACAGCATGCAGCCCCCTCAGTAGGGCGTATGGGGTGTACAGTACAGCGCGCGGCCCCCTCAGTGGGGTTTACAGTACAGCGAGCGGCCCCCTCAGTGGGGTGTACAGCGCACAGCCCGCTCGGTGCAGTGTATGGGGTGCACAGTATGGCACATGGCCCCCTCGGTACGGTGCGTGGGGTGTACAGTACAGCATGCGGCCCCCTCGGTACGGTGCGTGGGGTGTACAGTACAGCATGCGGCCCCCTCAGTACGGTGTACAGTACAGCGTGCAGCCCCCTCGATAGGGCGCATAGTACAGTGCATGGCCCCCTCAGTAGGTTGTATGGGGTGTACAGTGCGTGGCTCTCTCGGTAGGGTCTACAGTGCACAGCCCCCTCAGGGTGTACAGTACGGCACACGGCCCCCTCAGGGTGTACAGTATGGCACACGGCCCCCTCAGTACAGTGTATATGGTGTACAGTACAGCGTTCAGCCCCCTCAGGGCGTATGGGGTGTACAGTACAGCGCGCGCGGCCCCCTCAGTGGGGGTGTACAGTACAGCGCTCGGTGCGTTGTATGGGGTGCACAGTACAGTACGTGGCCCTCAGTACGGTGTATGGGGTGTACAGTACAGAGCATGGCCCCTAAGTAGGGTGTACGGGGTGTACAGTACAGCATGCATCCCCCTCAGTAGGGTTTACAGTACAGCACAAGGCCACCTCAGTACGGTGTATGGGGTGCACAGTGCAGAGCATGGGCCCCTAAGTAGGGTGTACAGTACAGCGCATGGCCCCCTCAGTAGTGTGTACGGGGTGCACAGTACAGAGCGCGGCCCCCTCAGTACAGTGTATGGGGTGTACAGTACAGCGTGCAGCCCCGTTGGTACGGTGTATGGGGGTGTGCAGTACAGCGCGTTGCCCCCTCAGTACAGTGTCTGCTGTACAGTACAGCACACGGCCCTCTCGGTAGGGTGCATGGGGTGCACAGTACAGCGCGCGGCCCTCTCGGTAGGGTGCATGGGGTGCACAGTACAGCGCGCGGCCCTCTCGGTAGGGTGCATGGGGTGTACAGTACAGCGTGCGCCCCCCTCAGTGAGGTTTACAGTACAGCGAGCGGCCCCCTCGGTACGGTGTATGGGGTGCGCAGTACAGTGGGCGGCCCCCTTGGTAGAATGTACAGTACAGTGCGCTGCCCCCTCAGTAGGGTGTGTGGGGTTAATGTACAGTGTGCGGCTCCCTCCCTCAGTATGGTATATGGGGTGAACAGTACAGCATGCAGCCCCCTCAATAGGGTGTATGGGGTGCACAGTACAGCACGCTCCCCCCTCAGTATGGTGTGGACAGTACAGTGCATGGCCCCCTCAGTCCGGTGTATACAGTACGGCGCGCAGCCCCCTCAATAGGGTGTATGGGGTGCACAGTACGGCGCACGGTCCCCTCAGTACGGTGTATGGGGTGCACAGTACGGCGCGCGGCCCCCTCATTAGGGTGTATGGGGTGCACAGTACGGCGCGCGGCCCCCTCATTAGGGTGTATGGGGTGCACAGTACGGCGCGCAGCCCTCAATAGGGTGTACAGTACAGCTTGCGACCACCTCAATAGGGTGTATGGGGTGCACAGTACGGCGCGCGGCCCCCTCAGTACAGTGTATGGGGTGCACAGTACAGCTCGCGACCACCTCAATAGTGTGTATGGGGTGTGCAGTACGGCGCGCGGCCCCTCAGTAGGGTGTATGGGGTGTACAGTACGGCGCGCGGGCCCCCTCAATAGGGTGTATGGGGTGTACAGTACAGCTCGCGACCACCTCAATAGGGTGTATGGGGTGCACAGTACGGCGCGCAGCCCCCTCAATAGGGTGTATGGGGTGCACAGTACAGCGCAAGGCCCCCTCAGTACGGTGTACGGGGTGCACAGTATGGTGCGCGGGGCCCCCCTCATTAGGGTGCACAGTACGGCGCATGGCCCCCTCAGTAGGGTGTATGGGGTGCACAGTACGGCGCGCGGCCCCCTCAATAGGGTGTATGGGGTGCACAGTACGGCGCGCGGCCCCCTCATTAGGGTGTATGGGGTGCACAGTACGGCGCGCAGCCCTCAATAGGGTGTACAGTACAGCTTGCGACCACCTCAATAGTGTGTATGGGGTGCGCAGTACGGCGCGCGGCCCCTCAGTAGGGTGTATGGGGTGCGCAGTACGGCGCGCGGTCCCTCAGTAGGGTGTATGGGGTGTACAGTACGGCGCGCGGCCCCCTCAATAGGGTGTATGGGGTGTACAGTACAGCTCGCGACCACCTCAATAGGGTGTATGGGGTGCACAGTACGGCGGCAGCCGCCTCAGTACGGTATACGGGGTATACAGTCAGCTGCCCCCCTCAGTGGAATGTAGTCCCGGTTTGCGGTGAGGGGCGGAGCTTCCACTGAGGTGAGCGGTTTCCCGCGGGGCGGTGTATCTTTCAGAGAGGGCGGAGCGGTCCTGACAGTGTCGCTTTAGGGAGAGGGGCGGAGTTTTGTCAGCGGCGCACGGTGCTCCTCTTTCTCTCTCCAGGAGGTGGAGTAATTCGGCATTGGGCGGTGCTCTTTGCGCTCTATTTTTTTGAGGGGGCGGTACCTTTACGCTCTCTCTCTCATGGCGGCGGAGTTTCCTGTGGCTGGCGGTGCTCTTTAAAGCCTTCTTAGGGGGCGGATAATTTCCAGCGGTGGGCAGTGCTATTTAAATCCTCCTTTCTAAGGGGGCGGAGAGATTTCAGCGTTGGGCGGCACCTTCTCGCTTTCTCTCTCATGGGGCGGATTGGTTCCTGCAGTGGGCGGTGCGCCTTAGATCATCTTTTCTTAGGGGGCGGAGTGATCCCAGCGTTGGGCGGTATTCCGTCTTTTTCTCTCTTTTTAGGGGGCGGAGTGATCCTGGCGGTGGATAGTATCCTCTTTTTCTCTCGGGGGCGGTATATTCACGCGTTCTCTCTCTGAGGGGCGGAGTGATCCCGGCGGTGGGCGGTGACATTCCTCAGGGCCGCAGTGTTCCGTGTTCTTCCGCACATTCCTCCGGCCGGGGAAGGCGGGAAGTAGTGCGGGGGCCCCCGGCCGCCTGTGTCGGTGTTGTCCGCTCTCCATGGATCGGTTCTCGGAAGAGCTGAGCCTGCAGGCCGGCCGGTTGATGGAAGGTCTGTGCCTGGAGGAGTCGGGCTGCCAGTCTGAGGTGGCTTTGCCGTGTTACACGGGTGAGAGGGGAAAGCGGTACTCTGCGGAGCTGTACAGGGCCGGTTATGAGGGGGTCCCCCCAGGTCGGGGCCCCCTGTACCCATCCTCCTCCAGCAGCCCCCGTTCCAGCGTTAGCGCCCTGAGCCCGCGCTCCAGCCTGGTGGTCCCCGGTGGTCAGTACGAGGGTTCAGCGTTGAGCCCCCGCTCCAGCTACGCCAGCACGGCCAGCGACACCAGCAAGCACTCGAGCCCCCGGGCCAGTCTGACCGGCTACGACGGTGGTGGCTCCAAACCCAGCAGCAACCGCACCAGCGGCATCTCCATGGGCTACGACCAGCGGCACGCCAGCCCGCGCTCCAGCACCGCCAGCCAGTACTCCTGCACCACCAGCCCGCGTTCCAGCTACTCCGACCCGCGCTACGTGCCCACGGCGACGGCCAACCACGAGGCGGACGGAGCCCTGGTGAGCCCACGCTCCAGCGTCTGCCTCATGCAGGACGGCCGGGCGGCCACGCTGGGCTCCTGCAACCCGTCGGTGGCCAGCCCACGCTCCAGCATCTCTAGCCACAGCTCCCGGAGTTCCCGCAGCTCCCGGGGGTCCCTGGGGGCGTACGGCGACCTGCCAGTGCCCTCCCCCCGCTCGTCCATGCTGGGCCCCAGCGTACAGGAAGAGGATCCCGGAGGAGAGCCGTGCCACTATAGAGTCCTCGCCCAGTCCCCTCCGCGACACGACGAGCTCAGCAACTCATCGGGGGTCTCCTACAACTTCAGCGCCGTCAAGGGCTCCGCCACCCTCCACCGATTCAAGGTGCCATACCAGGTGACGCCGTCCAAGGAGAGCGGGCCGAGCCAGGCCGAGAAGAGGCTGGAGGCCCTCACCCTGGAGCTGGAGAAGGAGCTGGAGATGCACATGAAGAAGGAGTATTTCGGTGAGTGTCCTGATTACTAACCCGGCTTGTCTGGCCAATCCAGAGAACGTCCTGGAGGTGTCCCGCATCACCTATTCATCCAGATTCTACAAACGTACAACCAGCTGGATTGGCCAGATTTGCCAAATTTTCCCCCCCTCATTCATGTGTCTGGCTGTAAATTCAGTGACTCCCCCAAAGTACCTTGGAGAGTCACCGACAGCCCAACAAATGAATGGGGGGAGTTGACCATTCGGCAAATCTGCCCAATCTGGTGTGCTGGAAGTATTTAGAATCTGCAGTTCCAGCAGTCCCAATTCTGTGTATTCACCAATACCCTCATTAACATGTCCCAGTGGTAAAGTTCAGCAAAATCCTCCAATCTGCTTAGCTCCGTCCATTCTCCAAGAAGGCAGATTTGCTGCATATTCACCGGATAACTCGTTCCCCTGGTTGGTGTGTCTGGTGGTGAATCCCACCAACATGCCAGGTCTGTGACAGTCTCATCCCGGTATTCCCGGACTGGACAGACTGATCTGCTGCCATGTTTTAGAAACTTCATATTTTCCCAAATGGTGTGCATGTGTGGCAGATGTGGTCTGCCCGGTGGATCCTCCATCCTGCCAGGAGGCAGTTGTTAACTAGCTGCAGCGTCGTCGGTTCCCCCAGTTCATGTGCCCGCTGGTGAGTTCCACAAATTGCCAATGTGCCCGTTCTGCTAGGCCTTGCCAATTCGCCTGCATTCTCAGATTGGATCTGCTGCCACGTGTTCAGGTGAATGGGAAACTGCAGACTCTGAACTGTTTGCCCGTGTAGCAGATCTGGCAAACCCCCCATGTACCCATGTCTGTCCAAACTGTGAGGAGCCAGGCAGTGGCAGTTCTCTGAGTAGTCATCAGATTAGGCAGACTTGCTGGAGCGACGAGTTAAACGCTCCAGATCGTTGGGTCCGTCTCTTTGTGCCCGTTAGAGGAACTACAAGTGCCTGCACGCCACGGCAGCCTCCTCCTACCTCAGCAGATTGGAAATCCGGTTTACGGTTTATCTTTTATTGCAGATTTCCCATATGGCTTTGCGTCCTACGCGCAATTCATTAAACCTAGTCTCAATTTTTTTTAAGCTTTCTCTATAATCTGGCGCACTTATAGATTCCTGCCGGGTGCTCGGATTGTGACCCCCCCCCCCCCCCCTTTCCCTGGGCAATAACTGGTATTCTGGGCACGCCGAGGACCCCTCTCCGGCTCGCAGGGGGTTAAGGCTTGGAGTAAGAGGCAGACAATGGCCGCTCTGTTCCTGTCTTGGCTGCTGCAATGTATATCTCCTGATTTAACCCCCAGCATGCTGAGTCTGCTGATGCAGGTGGGAGATGTGAGCCTCGGTGGTACAGGGCTGGTCACCTCAGAGCCACCATCACTTGAGCTGAAATTGTCCGATAGGGGGAGGGGTGGGTGACATGGGTCCATATGGTGGCATAAAGGGGTTACATTGTTCAGTGAGATTACTGCTGTCTTCTGCTTGTGTTGAGCCAACTTTATAAACTTCCTCACCTGTAACTGTAAAACAGACTGCTCGTCAATGGACTCTTGGCAGGCTGTGTGCGTGATTAGTCCCCTTCCCATGAATACCCATAAAAATGACCCACTTTATACCCCCAGCAATGAGATTGCCGGTAAATTTATCAAATAATGTGCTGTGTGTTGTCAGATTCGACCCCCCCCCCCCATCATACTTTATTGTGAATTGGCTAACATTCCTGGGGTACGTCAAATATAACCCCAGCTCATGAAAAAATCGATACGTAGTTAAGGTTTGTGTGGGAGCCAGTGGTCATCAAGGAATCCATAATTATGCCCCCAATTGTGCTTTATATGTTGATATGTAGTTAGGGTTGGTGGGGGAGCCAGTTATCTTTGGGGATTCCCCCCTTCCTTCCCCACTCTGCTTTATACATTTTTCAGGTTAGTCCTGGTGATCATTGTCTCATGTCCCCTCCATACTGGGTATACACTGCTGAAAAAAATAAAAGGAATACTTTTTAATCAGAGTATAGCATCAAGTCAATGAAACTCCTGGGATATTGATCTAATCAGTTAAGAGGGGGTTGTTAATCGGTTTCAGCTGCTTTGGTGTTAATGAAATTAACAGGCTCACTCGATGGGCAACAATGAGACGACCCCCCAAAACAGGGAAGGTTTTACAGGTGGAGACCACTGACATTTTTTTCCTTACTCCATCTTTTCTGACTGTTTTTCCCTAGTTTTGCATTTGGCTAGGGTCAGTGTCACTAGGCGATACCTGGACCATACAGAGGTTGCACAGGCAGTACAACTCCTCCAGGATGGCACATCAATACATGCCATTGCCAGAAGGTTTGCTGTGTCTCCCAGCACAGTCTCAAGAGCATGGAGGAGATTCCAGGAGACAGCCAGTTACTCTAGGAGAGCTGGACAGAGCCGTAGAAAGCCTTAACCCATCAGCAGGACCGGTATCTGCTCCTTTGGGCAATTAGGAACAGGATGAGCCCTGCCAGAGCCCTACAAAATGACCTCCAGCAGGCCACTGGTGTGAATGTCTCTGATCAAACAATCAGAAACCAACTGCATGAGAGTGGCCTTGAGGGCCTGATGTCCTCTAGTGGGCTCTGTGCTCACTGCCCGGCACAATAGAGCTCAATTGGCATTTGCCATTGAACACCAGAATTGGCAGATCCACCACTGACACCCTGTGTTTTTCACAGATGAGAGCAGGTTCACCCTGAGCTCATGTGACGGACGTGGACGGGTCTGGAGAAGCCGTGGAGAACGTTATGCTGCCTGTGGTGGGTCAGTGATGGTCTGGGGAGGCAAATCCATGGAGAGATGCACAGACCACTACAGGCTAGACAATGGCACCCTGACTGCCATTGAATCGGAATGACCCTGTGCTGGTGCAGGGGGTCCTGGGTTCCTCTTGGTGCACGAAAATACCCGGCCTCATGTGGAGAGAGTATTCAGGCAGTTCCTGGAGGATGAAGGAATTGATACCATTGAATGGCCCCCATGCTTGCCTGACCTAAATCTGAAAGAACAACTCTGGGATGTCATGTTTCGGTCCATCCGACACCACCAGGTTGCACCTCAGACTGTCCAGGAGCTCAGTGATGCCCTGGTCCAGATCTGGGAGGAAATACCCCAGGACACCATCCGTTGTCTCATTAGGAGCCTCCCGTAATGAAATTTCAGCAAAATGGACTAGCCTGTTGAACCATTTTTTCACTTTGATTTTTGGGGTGTCTTTGAATTCAGTCCTCTGTAGGTTGATAATTTTCATTTCCATCAAATGATGGGGCGTCCTTACGTTCCTAACACATTACCCAGTCCATACCAGTATAGATATCCAGCATGAGATTTTCCCCATTGAGATCTGATGTTTTCAAAGTGTTCCTTTCATTTTTTTTTTGAGCAGTGTATTAATATACAGTTTAGGTTGGTCTGGGAGCCAGTGACCATCGTTGGGGGGGATACAGTCAGTGTTATCTGTGCTGGTACATTGATATGTCATTCAGGTTAGTCCTAGTGATCAGGGATATGGTGTTGGGCCTCCACTCCCACCCTTGTTGGATATACTATGTAGTTAAAGTTGGTTTGCACACCAGTAATTTCTGGTGTGCAGGTGATCCCATTGACCAGCCGCTATCATTTAGTAGAGCCATTGGGGATCTGCCCAAACCTGTCTGTATCGGCAGTTGAAGGTACTGGTCTGATTGGTGATATACCTGAGTTAATGAGCTTTCAATAACAAAAATGGATGGAACCAGCATGATGGAAAATGTTGGCTGTAAAATCTATGCCTTGGGGAAGGGGATACCAGCCACAGGCAAGGGTTATAGTAATTAGTAATGACCATCATTGTGAATTGTCTCCCCATGCCAATGAGTGACTGACAGACCTATTGCCACAACATCTCCCCCTCAGCCACACTGCCAGTAAGTGGTCAGTCTGACCCCCTCCCAACCAATTTGGCAATGAGTGGCCAGCCTGACCCCACCCCCCCCCAACCATCCTGCCAATGAGCAGCTGGCCTGAGACCTCTCCCTCCCGTCTTGCCAATGATTGACTGACCCTTTCTGCCTGCCCCCCCTTCCACCCAGGTCTTCTGCCAGTGAGTGGGCTGCTTGACCGAAAGACCACCACCTTTCTTCCCAGCAATTTTTGGCAATGAGTGGCTGGCCTGACTGCTCTGACCATTCTGCAAAATGTGACTGGCATGACACCCCAGCAGTTTCTCAGCATTTATTTCCATCACATCAGTCCTGCCCTCAAGGAGCTTACAATCTAAGGTCCCTAGCTCACATTCATACATACACATACTAGGGCCAATTTAGTCATGAGTCTATTAACCTACCAGCGTGTCTTTGGAGTGGGAGGAATCCGAAGTACCCAGAGGAAACCCGCACAGGGAGAACATGCAAACTCCAAACTGGTAGTGTTATTGTTGAAATTTAAACCAACAACCACTTAGCCACTGTGCTGTCATAGCCCTCCGCCCCAAGTTAGGCCGCTTCCTGTATTCAGAGGGAGGTGTTGTATAGATATTTCCCAGCATGTTGAGCATTTTTTCAACATTCTTCTGTTAAGTTTATTTTGCTGGTGAAGAGACTGTGACCAGGTCTGAGCTGCACTTCCAAATTCTGCATACCCGATTAGTGCCCACGCTCTGTCCTCCAACTGCTGAGGAACAAGTACCAGCGTGCATTGTAGACTGGTGGGATGTCTTTGGGTCCTCTTGCAGTTGGAGGATGGATGCTTTTCAAAAAAGAAATTGTGTAACTCTTCTGTTTATTCTGATCATTTATTGTTACAAGCCTCATACTGGTCAGGTTGGGACAGAGAACATACAATAAAACCCGCCGAGCCGGTGTGTACAGTCCAACTCTCTGACCCACCAGCATGGAGAGTACCGTTATCAGTGTTAATGCCTAACTCCAGACCAAATGTTTTTTTTCTTCTGTCTGTGCTCTCACTACCTGTCCCTGTGACATC